AAATATCAGATCTTGAGTTAACGAGGGAAAAAAAAAAATCAAATGTAGAATTTAAATTTCAGATATAATCAACAAACAGCTATAATAAATTACCATCAAACTAAATCTTAAATAAAGATAAATTTAAACAATAATAAGGATTACATACATCTAATAATGAGAGACTAGATTTTACTTTCAGCAGTTTTTTTTTTTTTCGTTTATTACTTTCAATAATGAACCTTGTAATTGAACAAAAAAAATTAAAAACTTAACCCCTCTCAAAATTAGAGGTTCTACGTTTTAGGATACGTAGAATTCGAAAAACGAATAAAATTTCTTTTGTTCGTCCGCCGCCGCACATTTTCTCTGAAACGACTGGACCGATTTTTTTCAAATTTGGATTTAAAATCAGAGGTCAATCGAGGATGATCCTCCTTCATCCCTAGTTTTTGAAATGTCTAGACGAACTTGTAATTTTTTCCCCCTTATCCTAATGTTTTTGATTTTAATGTTTTCCATCTGCTATGGTTAACAAGAGAAAAAAAGTAAAATTTAACTTAGTTCTAATGTCGGTGTTAGTTAAGTTAGAAAATCGTATTTCCTTTAGTTTTTAAACTATAAATTTTCAATATTTGTTTACAAACGTATTTACATATTTTTACTTTCATTTCAACTTTGTCGGTATCTCTTCTTTCGACTAGGTGCGTACCCTTGACCGGACATTTTATTGCCACTTATTGTCAGGTATTTATGGCCCTGCAATCTTCCTAGTTTACATTAGTCCTTTGAAATATTTTTCTTATTTCTATAGTATATTTATGGTTTACAGATACTGGAATAATATTGTATAAAGATAAGTGATTTTTAGTTACTTTATTTATTTAAAATATTTGCTATATTTATAATGCAATGGAATTAAATATTAATAGAATCTAATAGAATATAGATAGGTCTAAAATATATATAACAAACACCTAATGAAGCAAAAATCAACATTTTTAAATAAATAGAAATCATATGCTTATTATTTTATTTACGAAAATTCTCGAAATTAGTGCGATTTCAATCTGGAGATCAGCAAGCTATGAGAATTTTATTTTATCATTTTTGAATGAGTATGTATTTTACCTTTTTTAGGCTCAATTGCACAATTTCAAGTTTCGCTACAATTTATTTTTGTGGCCAATTTTGGAATAAATTAGTTTATTTAGAAATTACTAACTTTTATTTACTAAACGTGCCAATCAAATATCCTAAAATTTATACCATATACAGATATTTATGCAAAAATTTAAGTGAGATTTTAATTTCACAAATTCTATTTTCTTGTAAATACAGTTCATCTAAAAAATATACATATATAACTATTAAAATTATATTATTAACTATAAATATACATTATATTATATATTAATTTTGATTATAACTATTTATATTACTACTACTAATTATATATTTATATTAATTATAACTAAATATATGTATATTAAAATTGAACTATACAAATTTAACTTTTTGTATTGTATAACAGCCCCCCTCCCCAAATTAAATCCTGGGTCCAATAATCTCTATCACATTAAATACATATACTTAATACTCCACTGTTAAACGACCTTTAATATAATATACTATGTTACACAACATTATAACACATACATTACACAACATATTATGTTCTATTGTAGGGCTAAAAGTTCTCCGAAAATTCTACAATATTCTGTAGGGTTAAATTGTTAATTGCAACTTTTTCCCCACTAAATTAAATATCCGTTTTTTATATAAACTCCAGATGGAATCGGTAATTCCTAATTTCTTGACCTTGTTAAGGTTTGATCAATTACCTGACAAATGCTCGACAGCCTCGGTCAGTTTTTAATTCATTACAAAACTTTATATTTCACAAATATACTAAAGCTCCTAACGAGCTTTTGCGCATTGACTGATTAACGAAAAAAAATCCTTAACCTTAAAAGTCTTTTATAGCGTTTCCACCGTCCCACTAAGTGCCTTTTTTTGAAATGAAATGAAATGAAAAAAATGTTTTATTATTCTGGGACTGTTGTCCCTTAAGAACAAAATATGAATACAGATTATATGTCTGTGTGGCTACAATTAAATTGTATATTTACAATGAAAGTTGACTTACGATAAAAATACAAAAAGGGAAAGAAAAGAACAAGTAAATTGTATATATGTATGAGAAACTAAAATAACCTTAATAAATTGAGGTAGTCTCTGGTGGTGCTCAGATATTTCTCTTAGATATATTTCACAATCATTCGGATTGAGAAAGGAGTAGGTGCTTAAAGAGGAGAGGTTTAAACGAGGAAACTGATTGAGCGTGTCGAATATCAGCTGGGATGGAATTCCAGAGGGAGGCGGCTTGTATTACAAAGGATTTGTCAAACGCAGCAGTTCGGTGAGGAGGAGGATAGAGGTCGGAAGTACGAGATCTGGTGGGACGGGATTGGATGGAATATTTGAATTGTAAGCTGTGAAAAATATAGGAGGGTCGATGGGTTCTAATGATTTGGTACAGAAAGGTGGCTAGGAAGTACTGACGGCGATAGGATGGGTAGAGCCACCTCAACTCAGTGTAATCCTAGGTAATATGCGTATCCCTTGAGATTCCGAAAACAAATCGTAGTGCGCAATTCATTAGGCGTTTAAGTTTGACCTCGGAATCTCCCGGGAGTCCACCGTACACCATACAGCCATAGTCGAAGTGGGGGAAAACAAGGGAGGAAACTAGGAGTTGACGGGACTTATATGGAAGGAGATATCGTAGACGATTGAACTGTTTTAGGGTGGAGATAGTGCAACGGGAAATTTGGGAGATGTGAGGTTTCCAGGATAGGGATTGATCGAAAGTAGCCTTTGTACGTGAAAGCTCTTTAGTTAAAAGAAAGGTTGTTTCAGGTCACTCTGTCCCAACAGCCTGGTGTTTAATTCCGATAATATATTTAATTAAAACCAATTTGATTGAAAATGAAAAGGGTTTTCTTGATCAGTTTTGCCAACCTACCTGAGTCATTACGTGCCCTTAACCTTGATGATGTCTTGATGAAAAGAAGAGATAACAGAGTCTAGAATGTCAGTGAGAATAATATTGGAAATATCCGGTGCTAAAGAATTAGCACTAAAGGTCGAAACGTAGGCTTTTAATAAAATAGTTTTACCACTATTTAGCCTATTTGTGACCACCGGACAATATTCCATCTCCCATCTTCCTTGATCATTTGAAATATTTTAATAATAACTTTGATATCATTAATGATATTAGCATGGTAAAAAAATCTTCCGAAATAGTTGTGGACCAACTGTCAACGATTGTCATCATTATCTTATAAGTAATACAATCTGTATGAGGTGTATTTATCATTATTTATAACAGAATTTCTCTTGAATTTTCTACTTTGTGGAGTCAATTAGTATTGTGCAGTTTTTCTGCACTTCAAATATTTTTTTAGAACTTTATTTTTATTTATAACATTAGCAAGGTAAATAAATCATCTTAAATACTTGTGTACTAACTGACAACAGTCATCATCTTAATCTGGTAAGTAATACATTCTTTAACATGTATATCTCTTATAATTTTTTTAAAATTTCTATTAAATTGTACTACTTTGTGGAGTCAATTTGTGTTGTGCAGTTTCTCTGCACTTCTAATATTTATTTAGAACTTTATTTTTATTTATAACATTAGCAAGGTAAATAAATCATCTTAAATACTTGTGGACTAACTGACAACAGTCATCATCTTAATCTGGTAAGTAATACAATCATTAACATGTATATTTCTAATAATTTTTTTAAAATTTCTATTAAATTGAACTACTTTGTGGAGTCAATTTGTATCGTGCAGTTTTTATGCACTTCTAAGAGATTTTTTTTAAGGAAGAGATCAGAATAATAACTTTTACATAACTCCATGCAACTTTTAGGCCAACGACCTTCGAAGTGTTCAAAACAAGAAAAGTAAGTCTAAATAGATGTTATAATATATTATATGTTGAAATCTGTTAAAGCATTTTTTGGAATGATTTTTTTCTCTTTTCAATGTAATTTATATTAATTAGAACATGGCCTGAGTTATATTACTAAACCTTATATAAATTTAATTTTTAACTAAAAGTAATTTTTGAGAAATAAGTCTTTATAAAATTCAAGATAGCAAATGAATGAGGATTTATAATGAATGAATATTTCTAATCTTTTTAGTGAACCTACCCAGGATTTCAGTATGATAAAATTGAAAATTGTTCTTTATGTGTAGTTCACATCCGTTTAAATCTGACTTTCAATTTGTCTTAATAATGAGGTTAATAATAAACCTTAAAAGGCATAATAACTTGACAAAAGTAATCTATCCAAGCCTTGGCAGATATTATTAATTTCATAAGGGATCAAAATGTTACTTTCGTTACATCCCGCAATCTATATTTTCTGACCAACCTATAATACTGACACTTAGATATTCTGGTTATACGTAAAAAAAGAAAAGACGGCTGCAATAATTGAGATAGGAGCTCCCAACGATGAATATATTCAAAAACTGTTCAGAGCGTAGATTAGAAAATATCAAAAGATGTGTGAGGAACTGAAACAACTCAACAGCCTAAAGCAAGGAAAGGTGATGCCTTTCATTACTTGGAGCAACGGATTGGTCCAAGAGGATACAATAAGAAAATGCAAAGTATTGGGACTGCTGATTATATCGTAGAAGGTCAGAAAGCTTTGCTACTGACGACTACCGGCATAGTCAGGAAATTTTTTAATATTTCCTAAACAGAGCCTAACCATTGACTTATCGAGTCTGGGTAGGTAAATATTCCCAGCAACTACTGAGGGAATGCGAAATTCTGAAAATATTAATAATAATATTCTTTCAGTTCCTATTCACACGAGCTGATTGGGTAAAAATTAAACAATAATAAGTCTTGTAACTCATTGCAATGACCAATTTTTTGAATAATAATAAGTCAACTGAGAAATGTGCTATGGCAACAAATCTTATGTTTTCAAGTGATCACTTCAAGTAATGTATCTACTTAATACAGTCATATGTAAATATAAACAATAATTCTTTGTATATTTTAGGAAAATTCATTGTAATACGGATTTTCAGTAATTCAAAGACCGCTGTTGGATCACTGAGTTTGTTCTTTATTTATTTAGTCTAATTTCATAAATTAATTAGATAATTTTTTTTGTACTATATAGTTTTATTTAATCCTATAAAACGCTATTGTCCTAAAATAAAGAAACCATTCTTATTCTTGTCTACAATGAATTTTCCACATTATTTCTTTACAGTCGTTGGATGTCATCATTAGTAAATGTTTACTTGGCTGTGAGCAAGAGCGGATACCAATATCTGATGGGATTTCTCAACTTTATTAGAATATTTTTCCTAATAATTTTGGAGCACTATCAGACAAGCACAGAGGAAGACTTTAGCAAGATTTGCATTCATTGAGAAAACATACCAGAAAAAGGAACTTTTTGGAAAGTAACAATGGATCGTATGAAATGAAGATCACAAGTAAGTATTTAGAAAATTAATTTTAAATGTGTACATAGTTCATAAGTTTATTATTAACAAAATGTATGACATGTTTCTGATTATTTGAGCAAATAAATTGGTTGAAAGTTGTACTAGTGTCAGTAGATCACAGTTTTTCTACCTCACTGTTACATACATACATACATTGAAATTCTGAAATCAGAGTTCTGTACTATGTAGTACAGGTACTGTTTCTTGGTCAACAGTTGTACAAGGAGGTGATTTGACCAAGATCATGCTTAACTGTCAGGATTTCATCCATAATCGATTATTTAATCAAGAGTACAATTATCTAAAGAGGCTGGATGTGACCCAGGAGGGCCACCCAACCTCAGGGTCAATCTTATAATATCTTATAACCTCAGGGAATATTAGATAATATTGAGATATGGTTAATACGTACAATGAATACAAAGTGGGAAAAGGATGATCCAACATTGATGTAGAGTGTAAATATAAATTTAGAATAAAATAAAAGAGGGATCATACAAAGAGGAAATATTTAGAATAATGAACAATTAAATGATTTAATCAATAAAAATTGAGAGTAGATAAAAATATAAATAATGGAATATAAGATATTTTTCACTTATAAGATTTAAAATGTGTCTATATGTTAAAGAAATACAGTTTTTGTCTACTTTATGATTAACAGGATTCTGTTCTATGTGAATATGAATGAGTCTTTTTTCATGGTTAGAGACCATGGTAAGAAAAGAGGTTTTTTAAAATCAAATGAGTGGTTGAGGGTTAAGGTATGTTCTGATAGTTTGGAGGCGGAAGGGTTATATTAAGGGAAGTATGGTATCCTTCAAATTGGTGAAAAGAAAAGAAAGTTTATAAAAAAAGTTAATAAGCTTATTCACATTGTTTATAAAATTTGTCTAAATATTATGTAACTGGCACAATTCTCTATCTTTCTGTATGTTGTACGTTCTAGCCCTGAAGAAGACCTACAAAATCAGGTCGAAACGTCGGATTTCAATAAAATAGTTTTACCACTATTTAGCCTATTTCTGACCGCCACACCGGAAAATCTCCTTCCTTTATAATGCAATGGTCAACTATTAAATATACAATATGACATATAACATGTTTGTATTGGTTATCAATATTCTATTATAGACTGTAAAATAAAAGTTGGAGAGTTATTTCTTTGTTTTATTCATCCTATAAATTTCGAAAGTTCCTACGAAATCATCTACCTCGCCCAAGCTTATTGCAGCATCATTCAGAAGTTATACAGTCAGTCATTGGATCTTGAGAAGATTGAAGAATATACTACTAGAATTCTTCAAAAATTCCATGTAACATGTTTGTATCTGTTATGTATATTCTATTGTAAATTGTAAAATAAAAGATGGAGAGTTTTAGCTTTGTTTTATTCATCCCATCCATTTCGAAAGTTCCTACAAAATCATCTACCTCGCCCAAGCTTATTGCAGCATCATTCAGAAGTTATACAGTCAGTCATTGAATCTTGAGAAGATAGAAGAATATACTACCAGAATTCTTCAAAAATAGCATGTAACATGTTATTATCTGTTATGTATATTCTATTATAGCTTGTAAAATAAAACAGAGTTATAGCTTTGTTTTATTCATCCCATCCATTTCGAAAGTTCCTACAAAATCATCTACCTCGCACAAGCTTATTGCAGCATCATTAAGAAGTTATACAGTCAGCCATTGGATCTTGGGAAGATTGAAGAATATACTACAAGAATTCTTCAAAAATAGCATGTAACATGTTTGTATCTGTTATGTATATTCTATTATAGCTTGTAAAATAAAACAGAGTTATAGCTTTGTTTTATTCATCCTATTTATTTCAAAAGTTACTACGAAATCATCTACCTCGCACAAGCTTATTGCAGCATCATTCAGAAGTTATACAGTCAGTCACTGGATCTTGAGAAGATTAAAGAATATACTTCCAGAATTCTTCAAAAATAGCATGTAACATGTTATTATCTGTTATGTATATTCTATTATAGCTTGTAAAATAAAACAGAGTTATAGCTTTGTTTTATTCATCCCATCCATTTCGAAAGTTCCTACAAAATCATCTACCTCGCACAAGCTTATTGCAGCATCATTAAGAAGTTATACAGTCAGCCATTGGATCTTGGGAAGATTGAAGAATATACTACAAGAATTCTTCAAAAATAGCATGTAACATGTTTGTATCTGTTATGTATATTCTATTATAGCTTGTAAAATAAAACAGAGTTATAGCTTTGTTTTATTCATCCTATTTATTTCAAAAGTTACTACGAAATCATCTACCTCGCACAAGCTTATTGCAGCATCATCCAGAAGTTATACAGTCAGTCACTGGATCTTGAGAAGATTAAAGAATATACTTCCAGAATTCTTCAAAAATAGCATGTAACATGTTATTATCTGTTATGTATATTCTATTATAGCTTGTAAAATAAAACAGAGTTATAGCTTTGTTTTATTCATCCCATCCATTTCGAAAGTTCCTACAAAATCATCTACCTCGCACAAGCTTATTGCAGCATCATTAAGAAGTTATACAGTCAGCCATTGGATCTTGGGAAGATTGAAGAATATACTACAAGAATTCTTCAAAAATAGCATGTAACATGTTTGTATCTGTTATGTATATTCTATTATAGCTTGTAAAATAAAACAGAGTTATAGCTTTGTTTTATTCATCCTATTTATTTCAAAAGTTACTACGAAATCATCTACCTCGCTTAAGCTTATTGCAGCATAATTCAGAAGTTATACAGTCAGTCATTGGATCTTGAGAGGATTGGAGAACATACTACCAGAATTCTTCATAAATACCATGTAACATGTTTGTATCTGTTATGTATATTCTATTATAGCTTGTAAAATAAAACAGAGAGTTATAGCTTTGTTTTATTCATCCTATCCATTTCGAAAGTTCCTACGAAATCATCTACCTCGCCCAAAGCTTATTGCGGCATCATTAAGAAGTTATACAGTCAGCCATTGAATCTTGAGAAGATAGAAGAATATACTACAAGAATTCTTCAAAAATAGCATGTAACATGTTTGTATCTGTTATGTATATTCTATTGTAAATTGTAAAATAAAAGATGGAGAGTTATAGCTTTGTTTTATTCATCCTATCCATTTCGAAAGTTCCTACGAAATCATCTACCTCGCCCAAAGCTTATTGCAACATCACTCAGAAGTTATACAGTCAGTCATTGGATCTTGGGAAGATTGAAGAATATACTACAAGAATTCTTCAAAAATAGCATGTAACATGTTTGTATCTGTTATGTATATTCTATTATAGCTTGTAAAATAAAACAGAGAGTTATAGCTCTGTTTTATTCACCCTATCCATTTAGAAAGTTCCTACAAAATCATCTACCTCGCCCAAGCTTATTGCAGCATCATTCAGAAGTTATACAGTCAGTCATTGAATCTTGAGAAGATAGAAGAATATACTACAAGAATTCTTCAAAAATAGCATGTAACATGTTTGTATCTGTTATGTATATTCTATTGTAAATTGTAAAATAAAAGATGGAGAGTTTTAGCTTCGTTTTATTCATCCCATCCATTTCGAAAGTTCCTACAAAATCATCTACCTCGCACAAGCTTATTGCAGCATCATCCAGAAGTTATACAGTCAGTCACTGGATCTTGAGAAGATTAAAGAATATACTTCCAGAATTCTTCAAAAATAGCATGTAACATGTTATTATCTGTTATGTATATTCTATTATAGCTTGTAAAATAAAACAGAGTTATAGCTTTGTTTTATTCATCCCATCCATTTCGAAAGTTCCTACAAAATCATCTACCTCGCTCAAGCTTATTGCAGCATCATCCAGAAGATATACAGTCAGTCACTGGATCTTGAGAAGATTAAAGATTATACTTCCAGAATTCTTCAAAAATAGCATGTAACATGTTATTATCTGTTATGTATATTCTATTATAGCTTGTAAAATAAAAGATGGAGAGTTATAGCTTTGTTTTATTCATCCTATCCATTTCGAAAGTTCCTACGAAATCATCTACCTCGCCCAAAGCTTATTGCAACATCACTCAGAAGTTATACAGTCAGTCATTGGATCTTGGGAAGATTGAAGAATATAGCTTGTAAAATAAAACAGAGTTATAGTTTTTTTTTATTCACCCCATCCATTTCGAAAGTTCCTACAAAATCATCTACCTCGCACAAGCTTATTGTAGCATCATTAAGAAGTTATACAGTCAGCCATTGGATCTTGGGAAGATTGAAGAATATACTACAAGAATTCTTCAAAAATAGCATGTAACATGTTTGTATCTGTTATGTATATTCTATTATAGCTTGTAAAATAAAACAGAGAGTTATAGCTCTGTTTTATTCACCCTATCCATTTAGAAAGTTCGTACAAAATCATCTACCTCGCCCAAGCTTATTGCTGCATCATTCAGAAGTTATACAGTCAGTCATTGGATCTTGGGAAGATTGAAGAATATACTAAAAGAATTCTTCAAAAATGGCATGTAACATGTTTGTATCAGTTATGTATATTCTATTGTAGCTTGTAAAATAAAACAGAGAGTTATAGCTTTGTTTTATTCATCCTATCCATTTCGAAAGTTCCTACGAAATCATCTACCTCGCCCAAAGCTTATTGCGGCATCATTAAGAAGTTATACAGTCAGCCATTGGATCTTGAGAAGATTAAAGAATATACTACCAGAATTCGTCAAAAATAGCATGTAACATGTTTGTATCTGTTATGTAGATTGTAAAATAAAAGTTGGAGAGTTATATCTTTGTTTTATTCATCCCATCGATTTCGAAAGTTCCTACGAAATCATCAACCTCGCACCAGCTTATTGTAGCATCATTCAGAAGTTATACAGTCAGTCAATGGTTCTTGAGAAGATTGAAGAATATACTA